CATCCCGGACACCCCGGGCTACCTGCTCTTCTCCGGCCTCCATGAGCAGAGCCCCAGTCACACGTCTCCCAACGGGCATATGGACAACGGGCAGATGCACCTGGGGCTGCGGGGAGACCTCTTCGGGCGACCGGATCCTTACCGGGCCGTCTCCAGCCCCCGCACGGACCCTTACGCCGGCGCCCAGTTTCACAACTACAATCATATGAACATGAATATGGGCATGAACGTGGCAGCCCATCACCACCACCATCACCACCACGGCCCCGGGGCTTTCTTTCGGTACATGCGCCAGCCAATCAAGCAAGAATTGTCATGTAAGTGGCTCGACGAGAGCCAACTCAGCCGGCCCAAGAAGAGCTGCGACAGGACTTTCAGCACCATGCACGAACTGGTGACCCATGTCACCATGGAGCACGTCGGGGGACCGGAGCAGAATAACCACATCTGCTACTGGGACGAGTGTCCGCGGGAGGGCAAGTCCTTCAAAGCGAAATACAAACTGGTGAACCACATTCGGGTGCACACGGGGGAGAAACCCTTCCCCTGCCCCTTCCCCGGCTGCGGCAAGATCTTTGCCCGCTCTGAGAACCTCAAGATTCACAAGCGGACACACACAGGTAAGGGCTGGGGGTGCAGAGGCTCTACGGGGTTGCACGGAGCGGATGAGTGCGAGGCGCTGCCGCTGCTCTCGGCCCCCTGCGTGCCTCTGCGGAGGGAACCATAGAAATGCGAATGAAATCTCATTTTCGGTGACATCCACTCCATTTTCTTTTATTTTAGGCCTGACTGGCACCTCTCCTCACTAAATCAGCGATATTTTTGTCAAAGTATTTTTATCTGTATCCCCATCTTCCCTTCAGCCCTCTGTCCGGGTGGAGGGAAGAGGGGCGGAAAGGCAGGAAGCAAAAGTATTTTGGTCCTTGAGTATGTCTTATAAAGCTGTCCAAGCCGCTGAATTTATCTCGGGTCTTCACCGTCCCCAGCCTCGCGCAGCTGCCGTTCCCCTGGAGCACAGCGTGGGCCTGGCAGGACGCGAATTAAAAGTAACAAAGGCTGACCCGAATCTATTCGACATGTAACAAAACCTGCTGTCCATCTTCTTCTGCTCCATTTTTTGGGATGCTTATGCATCCTCAAGGTGGGGCAAGCGGGGCAGAGGTTGTCCTGGGAGGAGGCAGGTGGGGCTGGGGAGGAGAACGGCCCTCCTTCACCCTCTCTGAATTTCGCAGGTGAGAAGCCCTTCAAGTGCGAGTTTGAGGGCTGCGACAGGCGCTTTGCCAACAGCAGCGACAGGAAGAAACACATGCACGTCCACACCTCGGACAAGCCCTACATCTGCAAGGTGTGCGACAAATCCTACACCCACCCCAGCTCACTTAGGAAACACATGAAGGTAATAACCCCTGCGCCCCAGCCCCTTTCTCCCTGAGCAGGGATGCTCAGTCACTGGCGTGCTCAGGGCTCATTTCCCCAGCTGGGGCAGGGCAGAGCTGAGCGGTGCCCGCCGCAGAGTTCCACACTCCCACCATGGCCCGAGCGGTCCCCGGTGTCTATGCGGTGGTTGGAGCGCAGTCTGGGGAAATGGCGTAGTTTCTTTTTGTGCTCCCACTGGTGCAAGCACTGCCCAGTTTCCAAAGTGTGGCTTGGTGTTGGAGGGCTGTGCAAATCCATCCTGGCCTGTGGCCGTGGCGCCCCCAGGCGGGGG